AATCAACTACAGAAAAAGTGGTGCTTTTCCACATTTCCAGAAGAAACCGCACGCGTCGCCGCGCTTTCTTCGCGTTTATGATTAGTGCAACGTGTACCCTGCGTAGATTCCCTCCCACGATATTTCTATTACACGTCGACAAGATGAGGGAATTGTAAAGAGATTCAAAAATGGATAATGATTTATGTTTTACACGGTGACGTTGCATTAAAGTGCACACTTCCCACTCCATTTAACAAATTTTCATGTTCAAATATTCTGTCCGTTTTGATTCTGAGGGTGCTCCTTCAAACTATGACGTGTCATTGACTTCTCACTTCATCCGCATTAATTATTCCTTACTGAAATTCATATTACAGAGCGAGATGATCGCAACATCATCACTTCATCGTTTCTTTTTGGGTTTGATAATCTGCGCCTGTCTGTTCGTCTATACAGGTATGAAATTCCTCAGTTATAGAAGAAGCTTTTTATATTGTCGGTTGCAGATGGAGCGCTTGCGGCGATGTCCATTGACCTGGGTTCGGAATTCATCAAAATTGCCATCGTAAAGCCTGGAGTGCCTATGGAAATTGTACTCAACAAGGAAAGCCGTCGGAAAACTCCACATACCCTAGTTATTAGGAACAATGAGCGCTTTTTCGCCGAAGCTGCAGCCGCTATGGTATGTTTGACAAATTTAGATTTTGATTGGAATGGGGTAATGAATCTCCATTTCTAGGCAGTCAAGTACCCGCAGGCTGGATATCAACATATTCTCTCACTTTTGGCCAAGCAGAATGGTGATCCTAGTGTTGAACTATATAAGAAAAGGTTCCCGTTCGTGGCGTTGGGCTTTGACGAAGTGAGAAAAACCGTAGTATTTCCGTCAGAGTTAGTTTACCTCTCCCTTGTCATCGCTAATTTTTGATATTTCTCTCTCTATAATTTGGTTCCAACGAAAACTTTTTCCGCTCTGCATGTGCTTTTGCAGTAACGTCACATACAATGTGGAAACTCTGCTTGCCATGATTCTTTGGTCAGCTAGACAGACAACTGAAGCTTATGCTGGGCAGAGGGTTAAGGTATTGTTAAACTAATTTTATCGTATTCGAGCAAAGCTTCAAATTCAGGATTGTGTGATTGCGGTACCCATCTACTTCAACCAAGCAGAGCGTCGTGCTCTCGTTACCGCGGCCGATATTGCCGGTTTAAATTTACTTCAAGTAAGTTAATGTGTC